GGACTTCAACTCCCAGAATTCCCCAGCCAGCCAGGGGAATTCTGGGAGTTGAAGTCCACACATCTTAAAGTTCCCAAGGTTGAGAAACACTGGTCTAAGGCTATCAAACTACTACTGAACCAGACCTACGCCCACAGTGTAGAATACCATTATAGCACAGGGCTCCCTCCTATTTTTCCCAAGAATAACTCTGTAAGGTAGGTTGGGTTGAAAGAGAGAGTGACTGGCCCCAAATCACCTAGGGAGCCTACAGGGCTGAGTGGGGACCAGAACCTGGGTCTACCCACACCTAGGCCAGCCATTTCTCCACTATTCCACCTTGGCCCTGGGACTGAGAGGGTGGAGTGGACCAGAGCCCCTCAGGGAGGTTCTATGGCTGAAGGGGGATCAGGCAGGGGTCTCCACAATCCTAGTCCAACACCTTCACCACTACCCCACACTGGGGCTGAGAGGGAGGGATTGACCCAGAGATCCCAGGTGAGCTTCCATGGCTGAAGGGGGACAGAACCTGGGTCTACCCACTCCTAATCCAGCACCTTCCCCACCAGACCACCTGACTCTGGTCTGAGAGCGAGAGACCGGCCCAAAATCTGCCCAGGAGCTTCTGTGGTTGAGTGGGGACTGGAACCTGGCTATCTCTGGTGCCACCCCAATTCTTTAATCATTTTGCTATATTGCACTTATTTTGGGAGATACCAGAGTCAATCAATGGTATTGGAGAGTCAGTTCCTTCACCAATCTTAGCCAGAGAGGTCAAGAGATGCTCCTCAAGTTTTCCAGTCAACTCTTAAATATATTTTTCATCTCTCAATGTCCTTTGCTAGCTCTCAGAGCTGAGAATGGCTTTTACTCATGATTCCGCTTCAGTTTATGTCCTGATATGAAATGATTGCCATAAGTCATTGGTGAACCAAAGCAGAAATGGAGCACAGGAGCAGGAAAAGGAGACATAGGGATTAAGTAGGAATAGAATCAAGGGTGGGAACTAAAGCTCGTCTTGCTGCAGTGGGAAAACTGGTGGGGAACGCCCCTTAATTTCCAGACTTTAACAGACTAGCACATCCCTTTCTTAAAACTCAGTTTCCCTCAAAATCCCTGATCTGGATTTAACCTAAAGCTCTGGATTACAGGTCTGAGACACAGCATTTTTCTGGGAAGCTACTTCTGTGCCTGAAAGTTGTCCCAATGTCACATCAAGACTGAATTAATATAAACTAATGGCAGTGAGACAGGCACAAGAATTGTGAGAAACCAGAATTCCTCCAATTTATGATCCAGTCTGGAAATGCCGCTCACCCAAGCCCATTCTCTGTGGCATTTTGCACATTTTCAATATTGCTAAGTTGGACCATCGAAAACAGTGATGTCATCTGGGTAAGATGTCCGAACAGAAATCTAGAAATCCAGTCAAGGGAATGAGGAGAAGGGAGTGCAAACTGCAGCAAGGCTGGCTTTCTACACTGAAGTAGCAGCCATTACTGTCTAATAAAAGACAACCCCTATATGAGGTTGAAGCTCAGAGTCTAAAATTATTTACTGCATTAATGATCAAAAGCTCCCTATAATCTGGGCCACTACTGACACAATAAGTTGTACATTTTTCTGCCTAATATAATGATTTCTCACTGATATGTGGCAGAAATATTATCCTCAAGGCCAAGCAGAGAATTCCCTAACAATCAGAACTCTTTATTTCTTTCAGAAATATCTGGCAACTATTACAGGAAACTGCACTAGAGAACCCTAATCCAGCTGGACTTTTTCTTCGTTTCTCTTATATATTTCTTCTAACGACCAGGAAGTCCAAACTACAGCAAACGTTTTCCTAATGTGTTTTAGATAAAACTCTTTTACACATCTAATCATTTTCTTAACAACCAAACCATTCATAACATTTCAAACCCTGTGTGGGTTTTTTGATGGTGAAAGAGCTTATCTTTCTGTGGGAAGGTTTTCCGACACTCAGGGCATTCGTACGGTTTGGATTCCACGTGGGTTCGCTGATGTCTAGTCACTTTTTCTTTCTGGGAAAAGCTCTTTCCACACTCAGAGCATGCAAAAGGTTTTTCTCCTGAGTGGATTCTCTGGTGCCGAATTAACTGTGCGCTCTGGCAGAAGCATTTCCCACACTCGGCACATATGTACGGCTTTTCTCCGGTGTGCATCCTCACGTGAATGTCAAGGTAGGATTTCCTGCTGAAGTTCTTCCCACACTGAAGACATTCATAGGGTTTCTCCCCCGTGTGCATTCGCTGGTGTCTGATGAGTTGTCCTCTCTGGCAGAAACGCTTCCCACACTGCGGACACGCATATGGCTTCTCTCCCGTGTGGATCCGCTGGTGCCGAATCAGCTGCCCGCTCTGGCAAAAACTTTTCCCGCATTCGGGGCACTCGTAAGGTTTCTCTCCCGTGTGGATTCTTTGATGTGTGACGAGCGAGGACTTGTTGCTAAAACTCTTGGCGCAGTGGAGGCACCCGTATGGCTTCTCGCCCGTATGAATTCTCTGGTGGGTAATAAGATGTGAGCGAGTGCTGAAGGTTTTCCCGCACTGGTGGCATTCGTAAGGCCTCTCCCCCAGGTGGATTCTCTGATGCGCAAGAAGGTTCTCCCGTCGGCAGAAACTTTTGCCACACTCGAGGCACTCGTAGGGTCTCTCGGCTGTGTGGATCATCTGGTGGACGATCAGCCCAGACTGGTGCTCAAACGTCTGCCCGCATTTGCGACACATGTGGCACTCTCCTGCAGCGTGAATTAGGCCAATATCATCTGCCGAGACGTGTTTCTCTTTCTGAAGGTCTAGGCTCCATGCCTTCACAGTGTGCAGCCCGTGCTGTCTGTCAGACTCGTAGCCCTGATCGAAAGGTTCCGACTTCATGGAAAGGGGCCCTTGGAAATCTCTCAGTAAGACCCCATCAGATCCTGCTAGCTGGAGGGTGCCATTCAGATGAGTCCTGCCCGTGTCCTTCTTACTGGCTGAGCCATCACCTGAGGGGAAAAGAAGCAAGCAGAGACACAGGTCACTCCATGTGGCAGACAAGAAGGAAAAATGTTTATTTGCTTGTTTTCTCACTTCTCCTTCAGGAGTCAAGGTGGCATCTATAACACACACAGCCTCTTACTTTTCCCCAAAGCACAACCCTGTGAGGTAGGTTGAGCTGAGATGGAGGAGCTGGCTCAGAACCCCCTAGGGAGCTTCCGTGGCTGAAGGGGGACCAGAACCTGGGGCTCCCCACTCCTAATCCAACCACATAACCATTTCTTGGAAGGAGGTGACACAGTTTGGAGTGGGTAACCCAGACTCCCTCACTTTGAAATGAAATGCTATTCCCACTATTATTGATGCTCCAACATTCAGTGCTGTTTCTTGTGTCAGGGTTCCTCAACCTTGGCAACTTTAAGACAGGTGGACTTCAACTCCCAGAATTCCCCAGCCAGCAACTGGCTGGGGAATTCTTGGAACTGAAGTCCACCCATCTTAAAGTTGCCAAGGTTGAGGAGCCCTGGCCTGTGTAACTAAAAGCATATAGTCCACATTCAAGAGGGAACTCAAGTTTTATTGAAGTAGAACCATCTTTTTCTTAAAAACGTTTGGATTTAAACAAATTAAACTAGGATTCAAAATAAGACAATGAGGACTGAACCTCTGGATTAACTGTTGAGAATGCTGACATGCATACAACTGCCCTGAAAGCAGAAACCAAAGAGAAGTGATGAACCAAGCCAACATGTTTCTCCCAGAAGAACTGGCTAATATAAACCCCATCAGCTGGTTGATTTAGCCCTCTTGGGGCAGATTATTCACCCAGAAGATCGTCTTAGTGTTATAGGATTTTATAACTTCTATAAGATAATAGAACTAGTATTATGATTCACTGATTTCTGAGGAGATGTTTCTCTTGTGATTTCTTGTATCTTTAAGGCTACAGCAATTTCAGAACTGATCTTTACTGCTACATTTGACATTTTCTATTTTCTTATTATTTTCTACTATCTTCTCTTCTATTATCTTTGGCTTAGATACTACTCCAATCCTGTCTCTCTCCCAGCTCCAAGACAGTAATAAGATTAAAAAGAGAAACATAGCAGTATAACAGATATATTTCTCAGCACTGAGGAACAAATGAAAGCAGAGTGTCCAAGGCATGCGTGGGGAGAGTATCACAAGGGATGGTGTGATGGAAGCCCCAAACCCATATATTACAATCACTTCCCTGCGAGCAATAAGGGCAAACCATCAGACTGTTGAACCATTTCTAAATGAAATTGTTTGCAGCGGACGAATTGAAATGTCCAGCATGGAGGAACAATTTGAATAGTTTCCCACAAAGCTTCATAAGCCAGAATGACATATTTCTCTTGGGGCTAAGTGGGAGAATCAGTTGATTCTCATCAACTGATGAGTTGATCATCATCAGTTGATTCACATATTCACCTCTATTAGAATCAGTTGAATTGTCAGAAAAAGGGGAATCAGCAGCCCTGGGTGGCCCAACACCGTAGATTGCTTTCCTGTGTATGAGTGCCACATTGTGGCCCTTCTCTGCAATAGGTACTCACTTTCACAGTCCACAAGTGTCAAGCAAATTCCCTCCTGAGATCCTCCGGATAGTATCCTGGGTGTTTCCACCAACGTAGGAGGAACCTCCTCCTGGGGACCGCCTTCTTCTTTGATCTCAGTTGCAGACAAGATATCTAGTGAGAAACAGAGAGAAAGAGAGAGTGAGAGAAGTAAAAGGAGTGTCCTCAACAGATCCACGGGGAAACAAAGGGGGTGTCACAGTGATGCAAACAGCGTAATAGCATCAGAAAGCAAGACCCACACCTTTCCCACAGGGTATACCCCCCAAAAGGGAAGAGCTGGTGGCCCAACACTTTTCCTCATTCTAGCCAAAGCAGTGAAAGTCTGCCGATGCCAGACTAGATGACCTTGTTTGCAGAACGGGAGAAAATCTTTGGAAAGAGAGACAATAACTTTGGGAGCAATTTATTGTAGACACAGTGCAATAAAGTTTCAAGATACCCTCCAACTGTTGAGGGCATCCCAGTTTTCTTAATTTTCCCCAGGATATCACTCTACCTGTAATTTTCCTTCTTTCTACTGGCTCAGAAGACCAGATGAATGAATCTTGCCCTTCTTCCAGCCGGGCAATAAGGTTTGGTTTGGAAATAAAAAATCCTTTAAAAAAGAGAAGAACGTTAAGGAATTAAGGTCTTATCCCCCCCATTTTCAAATAATCCAACTTTGAGAATTGTGGATTACTAAGGAAGAAGAAGGAAGTATCAGTAGGCTTAAAAGAGCCCCCAGTGTGTACAGAAGCAGAAACTAACATTAAAGAAGGGAAACCAAGAGGAGAAAACTGGTTTACAAAACTTCAAAGAGGACCAAACATGCTCAAAGGCTACAGAAAACTAGATGTTTCTTGTGCAGAATGGGAAATAAGAAGTTCTCCCACTGATTGGAACCTGGAGGAGAAAAACTCCTCACTGCAACACTGCGTTCAGAAGCACTAAGTGGATAAAATAGTGGTAGTGTGTTGTGCCAGTTATAGAAAGTGGGGGCCCTGCCTGCTGGCTTAAGACTACCACTGCAAAACATCAGGGGATCACTAGATGGCAATATAGAGTTATCATTTTCTGGATGTGGTTTGCTGCCCCCTAATGGCCATCTAGAGTTTGGCAGCCCAGAGATGATGGTCCTTGAAGAAGTAGGTCTGAAGCACATGAGGGACTCAAAGCAAGCCACCCCCCACTCTCCTTGGTCACCTCTCAGGCAAGACAGGGAGAAGGACCGTACCCAGAGCAGACACATCCTTGTAATTCTCCAGCATGACCTCCCTGTATAGAGCTCTTTGGTCCAGATCCAGCAAGGCCCACTCCCCCTCGGTGAAATACATGGACACTTCTTCAAAAGTCATCTGAAAGAAAGTGGGAACTTCTCAATGGTTTGTGGTCAAGGCAACCTCAGGATGGAAAGAGTCCTTGAACTGGGACTGGAGAACTTGTGGACCTCCAGAACTTGTTGGACTACAAACCCATCACCTTGATACCGGAGGTTAGGGCAGAATATAGCTTGAGTTAAAACCATGCGTGGTAGCCCTCCCCAACCTAGCGTCTTTAATGTACTGTATATCCTCTGGGTTGAAGAAGACTGATAGGAAATCTCTGAACAAGGTGAAACGATTCACTTTACTTCCAAAATCTCTTATGGAGGCTAGATCACTTCTCAAAAGAACCCCTTTCTTATCTCCAATTTAAAAAAAAAGACAGCCACTTGATCTTAAACAAAAGCAAATATGAAAATGTTCAACTGTATCAGTTTAAGTCTATAAAATGAAATCTAAAACAACAGTCAAGGTCGGGAAACTCCAAACCCGGTATTTTCCACACTTGGCAACTCCATGTGTGTGGACTTCAACTCCCAGACTTCTCAACAATGGCCACAATGGCTGGGGAATTCTGGAAGTTGGAGTCCACACATCTGGAAGCTGCCCAGATACAGAAATACTGATTAAGAGCTCTATCTCCCTGAATATGAGATACTGATTGGATAAAGATTTATTCTGGATTATAAAACCTGCATCAAATCAATGTACTTTCCCAACTTGAGGTATCCAAAGTTCTCCAGAACAAGGCTGGAGAAGCTCGTAGCCCTTCCAGATGTTCTTGGACTCATTTCCATCAATACCTATCAGCCTGGCCAAAGGCTGAAGATGAATCTTGAAGTTCCACAACATCTGGAGGGCTGCTGCTTCCGCTATGCAATTAAATCAAGACATTTGGGAGAGCAGGCATTCACTATCCCCAACTTTCCTACCCTGATGCCCTCCAGCTATGCCAAATGTCAACTCTCCAAACTCCCACCTCACCTGGCAACTGGGGAAGACTGCATTTTCAACCACATAACAAACCAGCCAGATCATTTTTCTGTGAAAACTCCTTCTTTTCTTCTGCTCAGCCCTTACCTGAGTTTGTTCTGGAGCAGATGACCCGGAACGCCGCAGGGAGACCATCCCAATGGCTGTGAAGCAGAAAGGAAGAGTTGGGAAAACTGAGTATGGCTACCTACACCCTAGTCTTTGAAAAAATGACTCTACTTCCAATAATCTGTCCCTCCTTTCTAGATTCACAATAGCCCCAGGACGTAGATCAGCCCCTGTGGATGAATTGGACTAATGGCAATTCCCATGACAGCGAACCACCCATCTGCAGAAGAAACAAGGTTGGAGAAATTGGCCCTCCCTCACTGAAGATACACAGGATGGCAAAGTTGGAGCAGGAAAAGTCACAGTCCCTCCCATAATGCCCCAGGTCCATCGCATAATCACTCAACCTCTTACTGAGCAAGCTGGTATCCTCGCTCTCCTCCTCCTCTTGGACCTCTTTGTCTGACTGTCCTGTTTCGACATCCAGTGGAGACCCAACGGCAGCTTTCATCTTTTCCTCTCCAGATGACACCAGTGGCACCTGGAGTAACAAAGAACATTTCTTAGCTTCAAAGTGAGGTGACCCCATAAACATGCCGTTTCCTCCATGCCCCCAGAAGAAAATAAAAAGATACGTAAACATCACTGATGCTCATAATTGGGCTGTCCAGAGCTTTGGAGAGCACAGAAGGGCAAAAATAGCCCTTTCCTGTACGATCTTAAAAGGGCAATGATTTCCCCAGGATTGTGGCAACCCTGAGAAAAGCTGTGGCTGCTTCTAAGGGCAGCACACAGGTGCTACGTTAGCACCCCGACACACTTTGAAGTGCCTTTTGGAGGGTGAAGACAAAGTGTGGCACAGCTGTACTAAGCAGTCTGCACACTGATGTGTATTTAGAAGTGCTTCAATTTAGGTGAACTGCAGAGGTTCAAATACAAGCAAGATTTATACATGCCAGGAGCAATATAGGACAATTTAGTCAA